ATAGTCAGTATTGTCTACTTAGACTGTCAGTGGCAGGGTCTCAGGACACATCTTTCTCGTCACATCGTACCTGATCTTTTTAAACTGGGGATGCCAGGGATTGAACCTGGGACCTTCTGCATGCAAAGCAGAGGCTGTACCGTTGAGCCATGGCCCTTCACTGTCCTGTGGAATCTTTCTCATCAATGTCATAAATCATGTTATTTGCCTTATAGGAAAATACTGATTTCCTCCCTTGTATGCTATAATGCTGAATATAGAATTGATGGTACAGGAAATAAACTACTATACATACCTGAAAGCAGGGGTCATTTCGTAGACAAAGAGGTGTAGGAGCTCATTAGCATAACTCATTAGCATAACTTATTTGCGTATGCCACACCCCCTGACATCACCGGAAGTGTGTCAGAAAGCAACACCCACCGCTCAGGCTCCACAGGACTGTTTTGGATTGCTAACTATTGGGGGGTGGGCGACGTGCAGATCTGTCCACGCAGAGGAGCGAGAGCTTGTACCTAAATAAAACTTGGTCTTAAAGGTGCCACTGGACTGTTTTGGACCGGGGGGCCGGGGGGAGCTCTGCAACTTACCTGGCTGCTTCTTGCTCTGACTGAGGGCTGCTGGGAACAGGGGGTGGGGCTTGTTGCATGTGCCCATCCCTGGGCTCTTTACTGCCGGAGCTACGCCCCTGTGCACTCCTGTAGGAAATGACCCCTGCCTGAAAGGTTTTCTTTAAATATTGTGCTGCCAAATTCCGTGTTGAAAACTCTTATTTGGGTATTTGTTTAAAACATTTATTAGCAGCCTTTCTTCCTTACATTAAAAAAAACACACATATAACCAAAAATTTCAAATCAAAATTTAGGACTGCTTTAATCAAATGGAGTCCTAAAGAAAACCATCTTCCGCTGCCATCTTCAGATTGGAAGTGAAGTGAAGGTGAAGGCACACCTCCCTGGGAAGGCTGTTCTATAATCGTGGGGCTGCCACTGAAAAGGCCCTCTCTTATGTACCCACCAAGTGAGCTTCTTTGATTGACTGGACAGTCAGGAGGGCCTCTCCCTGTGATACTCTGCCTTTTGAGGCTAGGTAGGTGGCCTTTCGGAGCTGCGGTGGCTCAAGTGGTTAAGACATTGAACTGCAGGCTGTGGAAGGTCGGTAGTTCAGCAGTTCGAGACCTGAGTGTGCCGCAAGACGGAGTGAGCTCCCGTCTCTAGTTCCAGCTCCTGCCAACCTAGCAGTTCGAAAGCTAGAAATTGCAAGTAGATAAATAGGCACCACTTCGGTGGGAAGGTAACAGCGTTCCGTGCGCCTTGGTGTTTAGTCATGCCGGCCACATGACCACGGAAGCGTCTTTGGACAGCGCTGGCTCTTCGGCTTTGAAACGGAGATGAGCACCGCAACCCTAGAGTCGGATTCGACTGGCTTTCGAGCAAGGGAACCTTTACCTTTACCTTTAGTTGGCCTTTCAGATTCCCAGTTTGCCTTTTAAATTCTCTGTGTACAGTCATATAATTCTAGTGTTGATCTCTTTTGGATAGCAATTAAAACTGTTATTCACCGAGCGTTGGCGGATGACCTGCTTTTGTTTTCCTTGCTGGGCTAGAATCTGGGAGACCCAGGTTCAAATCCCCACTCTGCCGTAGAAGCTTGCGGGCTGACCTTGACCCCGCCACACACTCTCAGCCTAACCTGCTTCACAGGGTTGTTGTGAGGATAAAATGGAGGAGAGGAGAAAGCTGTAAGCCACAGCGGGGGCCCCACTGGGGAGGAAGATGGGATGCAAATGAAGCAAATAAATAACCAGTCTAGTTCCTCTGAGAACCAGCTAGGGTTGCCAAGTCCTTACCGTAGGTATAGCGGGGGAGTCCAGCGCTGCTCTGGGAGTTCATGCGCGAGTGCCGCAATTACGTCACCCGGAAGTGACACGGGCACGCCGGGGGCGGGGCCACAATCATCCGAGGGAAAAACATAGTTTTCCCTTGGATGACCGTGGCCCCGCACCAAACGCGCCCGCCGCGACTGCATCACTTCCAGGTGACGTGCTGACGCCGGGCACGTCGCATGCTTTGGGGGTGGGGTTCCCCCCAGGGCCCGATTCGCCAGCGGCGGGTAACCCCCCGCCCCCCGGGGGGACTTGGCAAGCCTAGAACCAGTGTGGGGTAGGGGTTAGATGTCAGAATGTGGACTGGGAGGCCCCGGGGCAAATCTCCACTGTGCCTTGGAAGCTTGCTGGATGACCTGGGGTCAGTCACAGCCTACTTCACAGGGTTGTTGTGAGGATAAAATGGAGGAGAGGAGAGGGATGTAAGCTGCTTTGATTCCCCATTGGGGATAAAGGCAGTGTATAAATGAACTAACTAAATAAAAGTCATCTAAAAGTAATGGCCATTCGTAGGTGCGTGTCCAAAAAAAAATGAAATAGATGTCTATTTACAGACATAAAATTCGTGTGGGATTATGGTCATTTTGTACATGAGTGGTCACACAGAGGCACCCTTTCCTAGTTCTTCTTTCTTTTTTAATAACACAGGTAGAAGTCTTAACATTGTTCTGTCTCACAATTAGTTACAGTGCCTTTAAAGAAGGGAAGTTTCTCCTGCCAGTTGCCCAAATTTACTCAAGTCAGGACTGTATCTTTTCTCAACTGGTGGCTCTTGGCAGTTCGTAGAGCAATGACAGAATGAAGGTGTCTTTATTTGTACTGCAACGTCCTCTGACTGCAGTGTTAGGACTGGGAAGAAGACGTTCTATAAAGCTGCTTGTTTAAAGTAGAGGGATCATTATTCTTGGCAGCAGTCGTTTCTTCTGAAGCTGGGCAGGGCAGTCTTTCCAGGAATTACCACAACAGGGAGATCAAGCGCACACCTGGCTAAAAGAAGGTGTCACTGCCTTAGGGGTTCAGAATGGGGAACAGCTGAATGAGGGAGCGCAGAAAAATGATCATAACAAAGTCCGCCTTTAACATCTGGTATTCGGGATTTTATCCTGGAGGAACAAACTTACCCCTGGCATGCACTCCCAAGGCTGAGCTCAATAAAAAGGTGGAGTGAAGTTGTCACAACAATGTCCACCAGATTTCTCAGAACAATGGAACAAACCCGGGGGTGGGGGTGGGGGTGGAGTTCAGGGGCAATTTGGCTACTGCATGAATTAGTTTGCTCTGGAGCCATCCTTCCTGAGCTAAGACAAAAATGTGTTAGCTGTGGGCTAAAAAACTGAGCTAGTTCACACCAACTCAGCCTAGAGGGAACACTGGCTGGGATTGCCATAGTCTTATTACAGAGATTCTCAGTATGGTGCTTGCGGGAGTCATGGTGCCCTCCTACACCTTTCCTGGTGCGTGCCAACTGTTTTTATAAAGTGGGTGAAGATTTGATTGGCTATACAGATTTTTTAAAATGTTGCTTTGGCAGCAGCGGCCACCCCAGCCCAAGGATCTTCACTATGTGACTGAAGGTAAACTGTGGCAGCCATTTTGTGGCAGGGTCTGCCTCCTTTGGCAGCCATTTTGTGGCAGAGTCTGCCTCCTTTGGCAGCCATTTTGTGGCTGTGTCAGAATTCCAGTGGTGCCCGCAGGCTCAGAAAGGTTGTTATGATTGCTGTGCCATACACTCAGCCCCATTGAATTCTGAGTGATTATTCCTGGTGCTATGCACATGTGGCAGGATAGGGATCCTGTTGGGAGCACTGCCCACTCTGCTGCCTAACAGTCTTGCTGCCTGAACTAAACAAGCTGGCCAGTTAGCCATCCACGTCTGGATAAACTCTGCAAACAGTCACCAACAGTCTAGACCAGGGGTGTCGAACTCATTTGTTATGAGGGCCAGATCTGACATTAATGAGATTTTGCTGGGCCGGGCCATGTGTGTCATATAATGTAATGCCAGGTAGCGGAGATATAAACTTTATAAAGGACACAAACGCAAAGGGTTTTTTTAAACTTAAAATAAAATCATGCTTAAAACATTAGCACTCTTGCAATATTTTGTTTATGTAACAGTGTTTGATAACTGACACCTCTTGCTCTGAATTGTTGCATCAAAATGTCTGTGCTCTTGCAATCTTATGCTGTTCAGGTGTGTATCTGTAAGCTGCAAACCTACGGGGGCATGTTTGACACCCCTGTTCTAGACTGTCAGACTCTCATCCCTCAGGAAGGTGGCTAGCTGTCCTTCAGGATATATTTGTGGCAGAAAACTTGTACTAAACTTAGGCTTGTCATGTTCCTGCTTATGGGGGGACATCTCCCATCCACCCTTGCCACACTGGAGGGGCACGATTGTCATCCCCAGTGCAATTACATAACTTCTGTCTTGACCTGGAAGTGATGTCATTGCACTGGGGGCAATAATCACACAGCCATCTAAGTTTCCGTCTCCCCCATCTGCTGTTGGTTGCCTGGCAACCCTGCCTAAAGCAAACTTCCTGTCCTGTTGCTCTGTGCCCTCACCACCGCATCCTGGGTCCCTTCAGGTCCTTGCTTTAACCACCTTTGTGCAGACAGCTGAAGCTGGCGTATATTGGCTTGGCTCAGACCATTAGTCCATCTGGCTCAGTATTATCTCCTCTGACTGGTGGTTGCTCCTCAGTATCTGAGACAGAGGAAGATCTTTCCCAGCATCCTTTGAGATCCATTAACAGGAGAGGCAAGGATTGCACCCGAATGCAGATAGCATGCAGTCTCCACACCATGCGCCTTCCCTGTATAAAACATGTGCTCCACCCACTGGACAATGGTCCTCCCTCTTCTCTGCCTTTAACTAAGTCCTGCTTCACTTACGCACCCACACAAATGAACCAAAAAGAGTTGACGGTTATTACGTTTCCACGCAGAGCATACTGAAGTGAAGTCTCCCTATTGCTAAGCTTGAATTTGGGAGTAAATGCCTGGTGTTCTGTAAACAGGTACAGGGATTACTAGTTCTGTCCTGACTTTTATAACCTGCCATGTGAGATCTATCCATTTCTCTTCCTCTCTTTCCTTCCTTCCTTCTCAGTGTCCAACAAACACCACTTTGTAGACAGTAACCTGCTCTTCCAGTTCCGTATGAACTTCCGTCGGAGGAGAAGGTTGATGGAGCTGCTTTCCGGGAAGTCCCGCTTGATACCAGAGAGTCACGACAGTCCCTTCTGCCTGCGCAAGCAGAATCATGACAACAAAAAACACACCAGTTTCCTTTCTGGTATGTGTTCATTTAGAGGTTAAATCGCCTGCCTGATTCCCTTATTTTCAGGGCTAAAGAAAGTGTTAGAAGCGATCATCAGAGTAGACTGATGTCTCTCTACGTTCAGCCGAGACTCAGCCTATGTGGTTGACACACACACACAACAGAACGAGATGGTAGATCTTTGAGATGGTGGAATGGACTGTACCAATTCAAGCTAGAGAAGGCTGTACCAGTTCAAGCTATTTTTGGACATTCTCTGTATTAAAAACCCCTGAAAATCTAGCACAGCAGGCGTTAGACTGGGTTAGAACCTTCTTGAAATTGCTGATAGATTTCCATGAGGAGCACATCAACTATGGCATACTCCACCTGCCTTCTGAAGTTACCGAGCCTGTTTTATTACCTTGTTTTGCCTCATGTGTACACTAGATCTCAGCCATGGCCAGTGCTCCCTCTAAGCTGAGTTAGTGTGAGCTGGCTCACCGTTTTTTAGCCTCCGGCTCACACCTTTTTGTCTTAGCTCAGAGGGAAGGATGGCTCCAGAGCAAACTAATTTATGCTGTAGCCAAATTCATGCACTCACAACTTTAATGCCAGTAGCTCACAAAGTAGAATTTTTGCTCACATGACTCCACAGCTTAGAGGGAGCATTGGCCATGACTAACTGCCAAAAAGGCACATTGATCACCTGAAACTGCCTTATATTGAATCAGTCCATCAAAGTCAGTATTGTCTACTCAGACTGGCAGCAGCGCTCCACGATCCTAGGCAGAGAGAGGTCTCTTAGATCACCTACTGCCTAGTTCTTTTTAAATTGGAGATGCCAGGGACTGAACCTAGGACCTTCTGCATGCCCTACCACTGAGCCATAACCCCTCAGCCCAGGAATACATGCCTTTCCCTCCCCACATGGTTTTTTTTTAAGCTTTAAAGAATTTAAATTACACAGAGAATTTTGGTCTTGGGTTTGGTGTTTGTTCTTTTTTTAAAAAAAATGTAGATCATTACATTTATGATGGTTTGCAGTCAGCAAAATTTCTCTCATCTGAAATTAGGACCTGATTTCTCTGCCCCAAAGCCTTTCTCTCCTGCCAGTTAGGTGTAGTGGTTAAGAGCGCGGACTCTAATCTGGGAGAGCCGTGTCTGATTCCCCACTCCTCAACATGCAGCTGCTGGGTGACCTTGGGCAAGCCACAGTTCTCTCAGAGCTCTCTCAGCCCCACCTACCTCACAGGGTGTCTGTTGTGCGGAGAGGAAGGGAAAGGAGATTATAAGCCACTCTGAGACTGAGTGAAATGCGGGGTATAAATCCAATCACCACCTCCTCCTCCTCCTTCTTCTTCCTCTTCTTCTTCCTGCTTCCATTTTGCATTGTACCTTTCCATTCCGACTCCCTTCTTGGCAACACCCCTCCTGCCTTCCGACTGGGCTCAGGGATCTCCACTCCTGCTTGTATCTGATGAGGAGAGCTTTAATTCTTGAAATCTTTTATACCCTGGAAATCGTATTGGTCCTGGTGGTGGCAGTGGAAAGTACTGTCAAGTCATAGCTGACATATGGCGACCCCTGGTGGGGTTTTCAAGGCAGAGACATACGGAGGTGGTTTGCCATTGCCTGCCTCCGCGTCACAACCCTGGGATTCCTTGGTGCTACTGGAGTCCAACCTTGCTCTTGTCCTCCTCTTGTATCGTGGCAAGAAATTTGCCTGTTAAGGGTAGATGGTGATATTCTGGTAACAATCTGATAGACGGAGGTAGGTTCTTCAAGGGAATTGTAGTCCGAGAGGCAAGGATAATGTCCCTTTTCTACATTTCTTTTGGACAGTGAGCCCGAGCAAGGAGATAAAGATTGTCTCTGCGGTCCGGCGGAGCAGCATGAGCAGCTGTGGGAGCAGCGGGTACTTCAGCAGCAGCCCGACCCTCAGCAGCAGCCCGCCAGTCCTGTGCAACCCCAAATCTGGTAAGGGCAGCGTCAGTGACTGTTAACAACGTCGACAGCTCTCTCTGACACAGTGAATAATGAAAACAAATCACCGTTTTCTCTCTGCTGTGCCTAGAGAACTTTGGAGGGGGCTGGTGGGTTTTGGGATACTAGGGACAGCTAATATATACCACTGATTCAGAGCCACACTCCATGATCAGCATCCCTGCATGATGCCGCTGTTGCTGGATTGTGGGTGCTTTCACACATGCAGGATAATCCACTTTCAATCCACTTTAGCAATAGGTTTGCAAGTGGGTTTTCCCGTTTCATGCAGGAAGTGGATTGGAGGTGCGTTATTCAGCATGTGTGAAAGCACCCTAAAGCACATTGGATTGGAGACAGAAGAGTTGCCTGCTCTCTCAGATTAAAAAAAGGAGAAACTCCCTGCACGTCCAGATTTACATGCTAGGTCAAAAGGTTAAGTTAGGATCTGATTAGGTAAAGGTAAAGGTTCCCTTGCTCGAAAGCCAGGCGAATCCGACTCTAGGGTTGTGGTGCTCATCTCCGTTTCAAAGCCAAAGAGCCAGCGCTGTCGGAAGACATTCCCACGGTCATGTGGCCAGCATGACTAAACACCAAGGCGCACGGAACGCTGTTACCTTCCCACTGAAGTGGTACCTATTTATCTACTTGCAATTTCTTGCTTTCGAACTGCTTGGCTGGCAGGAGCTGGAACTAGAGACGGGAGCTCATCCCGTCATGTGGCAACTTGGGTCTCGAACTGCTGAACTACCGACCTTCCACAGCCTGCAGTTCAGCGTCTTAACCGCTTGAGCCACCGCAGCTCCGGGATCTGATTAGATGATATGTTAAACACAAGTTGGGTTATAGGAAACCCCAACCCTTACCCAACTTGTGGTTAATGTGTGACTTGACACTCACCTTTTAAATGGTGGGGTTTTGTTTTAGTGTTTTGTGAATCAGCTCCTGAGGGTGAAAGGAGGCAGGAAGAGCTCATGGCCTCTGCCCAGGAGGCACAGGGAACTGGCAGTAAGACAAACAGCTCATCCTTCCCCCCCTACAGCTCTTTTCTGCCTCCAAAATCACATGGCACGGAAGGCAGGGAATGATGATGTCCCTCCCGCCTCTGTGCATGCATGGAAACTGATTTGCACCCCCCGCACACACACCCAAAAGGTGAACGTTAGGTCTCGTGTCTAACATGTCATCTAATCAGACCCTTAGAGCCCTTCTCCCTAATACGCTCGGTTTGAAGGTGTCGAGCACTCGAGCGCGGGAGCACTCGAACGCTCGATTTCTCCATGCGGTCTGAAACGACATGCTCCAACAACAGATACACCGTGTGAGGGTAACAGTATGTGTGGCGTTGTATTTCTGTCAGTTCAGACTAGTTGTGTGTGTTCCACAGTTTGAAGCAGTTTGAAGCAGCCCGTGGCAGTCTTTCATCTAATCAGACCCTTAGAGCCCTTCTCCCTAATACGCTCAGTTTGAAGGTGTCGAGCACTCGAGCGCGGGAGCACTCGAACGCTCGATTTCTCCATGCGGTCTGAAATGACATGCTCCAACAACAGATACACCGTGTGAGGGTAACAGTATGTGTGGCGTTGTATTTCTGTCAGTTCAGACTAGTTGTGTGTGTTCCACAGTTTGAAGCAGTTTGAAGCAGCCCATGGCAGTCTTTCAACATATATGCAACACTTGAAGCCCTTTGTGGTGAAAATTTCCATGCACACTGCAAAAAAAATAATCAGGAGTCGGCCCTGCTTTGTAGGAAACTGGCATATCATAGGCTGAAACCCAGCCCACTAGCCAAGGGACTAGTATTTCAGTGCACTTGTGAGACGTTTTGAGGGGCTGGCTCTGGTGACTTGCCTGCTGCAGAGCCACTGAGGGTTGCGCTGTCTTCAGTGCATCAGTGACGTCTTCAGAGGCAGTCGTGTGCAAGCTAGCAAGTTACACAGAATTCAGTGTCAGCTGTGATCATATCCCCTCGAAGAGCCTAGCCTAACCCAAGTTCAGCGATGCACCTTGCTGATCTGTCTACTTACAAGTTTTGTGTGCCAGCAGCAGCTCAGGTTTACTCATTTTTCAGCTGGGAGAATTGGCCCTTAATTAGGTACAAAATCCCACTTTACGACTGGTTTAACCGGTTTGTGGATCGCTATAATTTTCTGCATGACTCAGACGAAACACAGTGCTGTGATGGCAAGCGCACCTATAATTTATTACGAGCCGTTAATTAAACAGGGCAGCATATGAAAGGGGAAAGCAGTAAAATGATAAAATTACGAGTGTGAGGAATTACGAATATTCCCAGCTGTTGCACTCAATTGGTGTTTGGCAAGTCCCTCTTTAGTAAGATGAAAGCAGCCTGTGTTTTCTTTCAAAATAATTCTCTGCGTCTCTAGAAAGAGGAAGGCTCACCCATTGGTACTGTTCTTCCTGAAATGAAAAAAAAAGGATGCTCAAGAAATATGTTACCACTAGTCACTCTTCATTCATTCAAAGGGAGATTTGAATATCAAAGAACGATTTTGCAGCTTCCTTCCTCACATCTTCCGTTCTGCATTAATGTACTCTCACTTCAGCAGCCAGACATGAAAATTAACTTTTGGACATGAGGCAAAGTTCCGTTCCTTCCAAAAGGGAACAGTTTTACAAACCAAATCACTTTTAGAATCTCATTTTGAAAGCAAGAAATACACCAAGGGTTGTCATTTTGCCAGATTCAGATGTTATGACAAACTGTGGTTTGTTATCAAGCCAGAAAATCTTCAGCCTGCACTGGGATGGAAGGAAGGAATAGATGAGCTTGAAAACTTTAAATACTCAGTCTCGTCACAAATGAACCAAGGTTTGTCCATGATATCTGAACACAGCCAATGTCTGAGACTTAGTAAAAGGATGCAATACATTGTTTAAACCGGGGAGAGGGGGATTAGGGAACAGCACCGATTCCCCACTATTTGATGGTAAAAGGAAGCAGGTATGGAGCACTGACAAACCGTTTGTCCATATTTGTTTCTGAGCTTCAAGTTCCCATGAAACGCTGTGGGAACTCAGAAAAAGCATGCCGTACGCTTCTCAATGATTCAGTCCCATCCTCCAAGAAGAGCTGTTATTGAACACCTTTCCATGTTTCTTCACAGTTTTAAAAAGACCAGTGACTACTGACGAACTTCTGACACCCAGTGCGCCCTATGCCAGGAAAACCTTCACGGTATGTCTCCACTTTGCCTGCTTCTTTTCTGTTACCTTCATGAATAGGCCATCTTGTTCATAGGCTAATTTGTATGACAGGTTCACACACACACACTAGGGTGGTCTTAACCAGTGGGCAATGGGGCAGCTGCCCCAGGCTCCACACTGGTCCACACTGGACACGGCCACATCCCCTGAACAGGGGAGGGGTAGCTGGCTTGGCGGCGGCAGCCACTTGTGTCTGTTTTGTCCAAGTCTCAGGCAGCTGGCTTCCAGGGCAAGCAGCAGCTCCCACCTGCCTCCCACAGGATGAGTGCTGCCTCTTACTTGGATCCAGCTGGCAGGGGGTGGAGCCTCGTGGGGAGGGGCAGATTACGAGGCACAATCCTTAATCTTTGTCCAGGGCTCCAGATTCACTAAAATCACCCCTGTTCACACAGTCATTCTTACGGTGGTGTGAACTATATCCTAGTCTGTGTTAATTTCAGCGGTAGGGCATAATGTGGCAATGGCCTAATGCTGTGGTTGGTTACTGACATAGGATGGTGCAGAGGTGATACATTTCCATAGTCGTCAGTGGTATAGCCTGAATCATGGATCTGTATATTTATGAATGGGTTAGTGGACCCTGTGGCTTAGGCTCAGGGGTGGTGGAAGGAGGCCTGCTGGAAAAGTAAAACTATGCTTGCCCTGAATTTCCATTCCAGGAGGGCATTAGCTGCAGCCTCTTCCTGTATCCACACAGCAGGGGAGAGATATTTGGTTGCAGATGATCCCTTGAGCCAGTTTGGTGTAGTGGTTAAGAGCAGCAGACTCTAATCTGGAGAGCCGGGTTTGAGTCCCCACTCCTCCATATGCCACCAAGCTGGGGTCAGTCACAGTTCTTTCAGAGGTGTTCTCTCAAGAGCAGTTCTCTCAGAGCTTGCTCAGCCCCACATACCTCACAGAGTATCTGTTGTGGGGAGAGGAAGGGGATTGTAAGCCTCTCTGAGACTCCGAGTGAGGAGCGGGGTATAAATCCAACTCTTCTTCTTGACCAGAGGTCACAGTGAGGCAGGAAAAAGAAATGAATGCTTGTACCCTGTTTTAATTCTGGCTCTGTCATAACTGTCTTAAAGTTTCTTTAAAATCCTCCTCTCTTTACAGTCTTAAGTACTGCTTTTCCTTTCTCTGCATGAGCTTGATCTTCAGCTGAACCGTTGTTCTAGAAATTGGCATATCTTTGGGGGAGATCGAGCTTTTCTATCCCAAACCAGAAATATGTCTAATGTTTGCCTTCTGGTCTCTGTGAAGATTAATGATCCCCCCAATTTTTTTTTTAAAGCACTGTTTTTGAGACTTCTTGGAATGGAAACTCAGTGTCGAGTATAGTCTTACCATTCAGAGTGTGGCTGTATCTGTACCAGTGTTCCATTTTGTGCATGTGTGTGTGTGTGTGTGTGTGTGCGTGCATATATAGCCATAACCAAGAAAGTTATACTTGAGAGCTAATGAGCTATAATAAATATATAACGGGCTTTTGTAGTCTGGAGTTGCCGTGGGAATATGGCTCCTATACCTGCGTCACTTGCATTAGTTTGGTGTAGTGGTTAAGTGCATGGACTCTTATCTGGGAGAACCGGGTTTGATTCCCCACCCCTCCACTTGAAGCTGCTGGATGACCTTGGGCAAGCCATAGTTCTGTCAGAGCTGTCCTTGAAAGGGCAGTTCTCGAAAAGGCTCTCTCAGCCCCACCTACCTCACAGGTTGTCTGTTGTGGGGAGGGGAAGGGCAAGGAGTGGACTGCACTTTTGTTGTTTTTGTTTTCCTCTTGAAACTGCATGGATGAGAGTTAAAGCGCATATTTTCTCTTTCTCAAGATCATAGGCGATGCTGTTGGGTGGGGGTTTGTGGTGCGTGGAAGCAAGCCTTGCCACATTCAAGCCGTGGACCCCAGTGGCCCTGCAGCTGCAGCAGGAATGAAGGTAAGTTTATTTAACTTCATGGGTAAAAACAGTCGGGTTGCCATTTTCTCAGGGCTGCTTCGGATGAGACAGCATTTCCATGTAGGTAGCAACACCAAGTCTTGTGAACATTAATGATGTATAATTGCAGAAACAAATGCAGATAATTGCAGACGCTGTCGCCTGTAGCTCTGGTTGCTTTCTCACGGAGGTTTTGCTCTGTGCTCCCCGCTCAAATAGCAGTGGGGGGATTCCATATAACATTGTCACGCGGTCACCCACCTTTTCCTCGCCTTTGCTGTATTCTCCTCTTAACGTGCTGGAAGATCATGCTAAAAGCAGGTTTAGGGAGAACGGAGACAGGAAGGTGTGGATTTCCACATCTCCTTGCTCACAGCTAACAACATTTAATTTCCCCTTGCACCTGCCATTCCCACAGCAGGCTTTTTGCCATTAAAAAAAACCCCACCTGGCAGTAGACGTATTGCTACAACAGCATTACACTATAGCCACTATTACTTTGGCTGTAGAAATATCGCTATAGCAGCCTAATGCTACTGCCACTGTTACCTACTATCATTTTTTTTAAAGCTAGCAAAAAGTATTTCAGCAATGGGTGCAGGAGTGGTGAGGACAAGGGGCAATGGAGGAAAGAATGGAGAATTCCACCCCCACTCCCATCTGGAGGGCTCGATTTGTGATAAGATCACAGCAGGGAATTGCCCCGGTGTGGCAGCCACCTATGTCTGTGTAGCCATTTTGAGTTGCGTCCTCCCAGAAGTGTTTTCAAATCAAAGGGGCATGGAGCCCACAATGTCAGCCTCTGAGGGCTTGAGGTCCATAGGAAGCTTTGCCTTAAAACCCCCACCTGGCAGTAGATGTATTGCTACAACAGCATTACACTATAGCCACTATTACTTTGGCTGTAGAAATATCGCTATAGCAGCCTTATGCTACTGCCACTATTACCTACTATCATTTTTTTAAGCTAGCAAAAAGTACTTCAGCAATGGGTGCAGGAGTGGTGGGGACAAGGGGCAATGGAGGAAAGAATGGAGAATTCCACCCCCACTCCCGTCTGGAGGGCTCGATTTGTGATAAGATCACAGCAGGGAATTGCCCCGGTGTGGCAGCCACCTATGTCTGTGTAGCCATTTTGAGTTGCGTCCTCCCAGAAGTGTTTTCAAATCAGAATTCAAATCTCCCTAGGAAGTGAGTAAGTTTGCCCCTCCTTCTTCCTCTCCCAATGTGAATCTCCTTTAGAAGTGTGCGTGTGCGCGTACACATACACAGCTTCTTCAAACTCAGCATAGTTATAAAGCTGGCAATGAAGAGGCATCTGTCCTTCTCTAAGAAGTACTCTCTGCCAGAGTTTCTTGGAACACCCGAGTAAAGAAACTAGACCAAGAAAACTTGGCGAGAATGGAAAAGGGCAAGAATTTGAAGAAGAGCCAAGGTTCAGCGTTATGCTTTCGAGAAGGGCCTTCAGCTCCAAGACAGACCCCCCCCCTTCCTTTCCCTCCTCCTTTCTGGACATCTGCTGCAGGCTGAATTTATTTAGAAAACCTCACAATGCTATACTTCCCTTCCTGGCACCACGAGGAGCAAACTCCTTAGGGCAGGACTTCTACCCTGGCCCCCTGTTATAAAATGCTGGAAAGACAACATGCTGCAAGACCAGCACAGCTTCTTATATTTTTAAGGCTGGGGAGGGGGGAGAGTTATCCAAAAGTAATCAATCTCAATGGGTTCTGGAGCAAAGCCTGGAGCAGTCTTTTAAGGCAAAGGGGGGGAAATTGCTGGTATTGAATTTCTAGCCAAAAAGAAGGAGAAGAGTCAGTGGGACTGAAGTCTGTTTAGAAACACCACGCTTTTGATTACTGAGTCCTTCCCCTCCTGCACCTTATGGTTCAACAAACAAACACTGTTATGCTGGCTAACACATTTAGTAAAACATTTTTGCAATCAACATGTAAGTCTTATACCCAGGGGCCGTTTCGTAGAAAAAGAGGTGCAGGAGCTCACTAGCATAACTTATTTGCGTATGCCACGCCCCCTGACGTCACTGGAAGTGTGTCAGAAGGCAACACCCACTGCTCAGCCTCCACCCCAAAAATCCCCAGCACTTACAGAGCTGATAGGACGCCAGTACCACGAGTGCCAACAGCGTCACGTTCAACTGCATGCCGCCTCCCCCAAGCCAGCCGCCGGCTGCAGCAGCAGCCTCTGTCTCCTCCAGGCTGCCGCTACCACCTCCTCGTTCAGTCCTTAGCTTCCCATCCCCATCGTCCGTCATCACTGCCCAGCCAGCGCCTGCCTGAAAGGAACTGCTCTGCCCCACACGGGCTGGAGCGGGTGGGAGGGGAAGGAAAGGAGAGGTGGGGTGCATTCTGCCTCCTTCTCGCCCAGCCCTGATTCTGTCTCCAGCTCGCACACAGCAGAACGAATGAGAAACAAGTGCACGCGGCTGTCCATCGAGGAATGCTACAGGTGCTGCTTCGCGGCCCTGCTGGGAGCTGGGGGTGGGGCTTGCTGCTCCCTGTGCTTCTAACTGCTGGAGCTCTGCTCCTGCTTGCTCCTGCTCGAAATGACCCCTGCTTATATCACATTATAAAGAAGTACATCTTTATGGTATTGCAAAAAGGAGTCCATCCTCATGATGTCACTACAAGCACCTGGATGTGGGCTCGTTTCATCAAATTCTTCCTCAGGAGTTGTCGCGGACAGCGGCTAGAAAGTTTCGCTAATGGCTGCCACCACTCTGGCATGGGTCTCCACCCCGACGTGCGCGTCACCCGGAAGTGTACTGTACTGTAAATTCAAGATGGCGACCGGGTGGTGGCTCTGGTGCTGAGCTCCCCCGTGGTACGGTTAGCTAGGGCATTTTATGGTATTTTAACTGAAACTGTGAGATAAATTGTTGTAGGTAGGGACAGTTAGGACAGTTAGGAAGCAAGTTGGCAAGGAAGCAGGGCGCCTGGCTTAAGACTATAACATCATAATTACCTAAGACCGCAGAGGACCCGTGTACTTGGGGAGGATTGGAAATATTGCTGAGCCGAGCCGAGCCGCTGGTCGTCGTTGGGCCTCCGAGCTACTCCGAGCTACGACGTCGAGGTGCTGGTCCTTCGAGTGCCGCCCTCCCCTCTCAGTCGGCCGCGACGCTGAGGTGCCGGCCCCCTCTTCCCTCTTTCGAGCTGCGTTGCGGCACTGAGTTGCGGAACGTCGTGGGATTGCGGAGGTGCCGATCCTTCGGGCTGCCGGCTCGCCCCCCCGGGCTCCGAAACAGCGATTATTGGGCTGCGCCAGTACCTTGGGCTGTGGAGGAGCTGGGGTGTCGATCTGCGGGGCTGTGGGGGCGTGGAGCTCGAGCTGCGGCAGCAGGGCCGCGGCAGCTGCACCGAGTTGCGCCGGTTTGCAGAGCCGCGGAGACACTCGTCGCTGCCCTGTTAAGCCGTGTCTCTGGCTGAGGTGAGGGCTGCCTGGAGTGTGAAGAGTGGTCCCCCCCCTTCTCGAGGGCGGAGCCTTGGATGCCACAGGAGTCCCCCAGGAATCGGAGTGGGAGCTGAGTGGTCTATCCCCCCCCCCTCCGGAAGAACGGAACTTTCCCGGAGAAGCCCGGGTCAACTGCTGGTATTGGTTGGGGGTTTGTGAGAGAGACCACGTCATCGGGTCTGTGAGAGAGACCACCCTACCGGCTGATACATAACATCGTGGTGACCAACGAGGCAGGGGCAGTGTTGGGAAGTAGCCGGCTGTGAGAGAGCCGGTGAAATGGGGGTTTGTGAGAGAGACCACGTCATCGGGTCTGTGAGAGAGACCACCCTACCGGCTGATACATAACATCGTGGTGACCAACGAGGCAGGGGCAGTGTTGGGAAGTAGCCGGCTGTGAGAGAGCCGGTGAATCTGGAGCGAGTTTCCCAGCGGTGTGAGAGCCGGGACCGAGCCCTCTCCCTTTCAGCTGCCCCCCCTCTTTCTCTCCCTCTCCTCCCCTCCCCC